TATGGTCTTTTCCCTCAAGTGCGCCCTATACATAATAATCAAGTGGGAATGTCGTTTGGAGAGTTATGTGGCCATATGTAAGGGCAGATATGTTTGTTGAAATTGTCTGAGAGCCATGGCCGGTTACTCCTGTTTGTGTGAGATGTGACAGTTCCTTTTGCCAGACATAGGTTTTTCCAGCAGCCACCCTCCTGACCCAGGGAGTCAATACCTCCTCAAGTTACTTGGTGCTGGCTTCCGTTGGAAGATGAATGGAAGCGTAACGCCGACATTAATTGTGATCGCTCCAACCACGTTTGACTCATTCAACCCTTTCCGAATCCTCTGCACCCAAACACTCTGAAATGCTCGTATTGGAGCTTCCGGCGTGAATGCTAAGCTGTACAGCCTGCCGTTTCGAAATTACCGGCGTAGTGAATTGCATCGTGGTGCTCATTTTGTCAAATAGGTTGCGCAATTTACCCTACTATCGTGTGACATGAATAAAATCTAAACAAAGAGGATGCACGAAATTAAAAATATAAAATGACGACAATTTACTCATCGCACCCTCTCATACTCTCCCCTCTCTCTCTCTCTCTCTCTCTCTCTCTCTCTCTCTCTGTACATACTGTGGAGTTGTGGATAGCGGCTCGGATTGAGGAATCGGAGAGACGATGTACTTTCCAAATATGCTACACGCGCCCATGCTAAATAATAAATATTTATAAAAGATAAAGAATAAATATCGCATCGTATTTGATTAAAATATATTTATAATATTGTAAATAAACATTTGCCAAGAGAGAGTCAAAAGTGTACGCTGTAATAACAGTGTCAAGGAAACAAACATACCCCTGACATATCGTTTTTTGCGGCCACAAATGGTAAACATTGCCGAAAAATCCATACTATTCTTCTTATTTGTCCATGATTTTTACATTTATTACGTTTCTCTATCAAAATCAAGATTTATACTTTTAAAGCGAACGTAAAAAAATACATTTATCAGGTGTAATTATTTTCTCTCCTTATCAAACTTTCTTAATCAATAAATATAAATATATTTCTCTATATTTATGTAATTTTAAAATATATATTCATCCATGTATATATATATATATATATGTGTGTGTGTGTGTGTGTGTGTGTGTTTGTGTGTGATAATCCGGTGGTATGTAATCCCAGTGAATTCTAATCATCCTAATAATATTAAAACAATTAAAACTGATCCACAAAAGAGCACAATGTATTTATTAAAACAGACCCTATAAATTACATAGAGAAGAAATCCAAAACTGCCTCACTCGAATAGCTATTTCGGCCTACAAAAATTACTTATAGGCCTTGTCAACTCAGAGGTGTGAAAAAATAAATAAAAATTATGTCTTCACACATCTGATTTGACAAGGCCTATAAGTAAGTCTTGTGGGCCGAAATAGCTATTCGAATGAGGCAATTTCAGGCCACCTGAAGATTGTGTCCAGCATGAAACAGCCTGTCGCCTCTGAGTCTTGACTTCAATGTTCACTTTTATATTCATATTTACATACGCTCTATCTCTGATATTGAGCACTTTATCCCATAAATATAGCAAACCTTAAAACTATATTATATATATATATATATGTGTGTGTGTGTGTGTGTGTGCGTGTGTGTGTGTGTTTATGCATGTCTGTGTTGGTGTTCACATTTATGTATACAAATAAAATGAAAAGACAACACGTTGAGTTCCTTGAGATACATTCTAAAGGCAATTAATGTAATGTAGAAGCATGAAGCAAAAGTAATGTTCTGTCTATAAATGAAAAAAAGTCATGGAAAATTTTAAATGCATGAAAAAAAGTGAAAAATTTAAATGAAAATAATAAGTAAACGGAACGTTAACTACAGGAAAAAACAAATGAAATTTATAGAAAGAATAAGAAGTATAGAGGACTAAGAAAATTTGACCCTCCTGGAACATAACCAATGCAAGAGAAGCTGGGAAAAAATCTAGTAAAATCCTTACTGAGTTTGAGTAAATAACTGGCAAGTTAAGGAAAACAACAACGGTAAAACGCCATAAAATAGCGGAAAGACGTAGTGAGCTATATGCCGGGATTATATGACACATAAAATGATGTGACATTGTAGTTAATCGTAACTTTTTTGATGGTGCATAGAGAATCTGTTTCAGTTTTAATGGCAATGAATATATCATTATTAAAATCTAGGTGTCTTGTAAAGACTGTATTTCTTGAGAAATCATCCGGTCTCTCTCTACAACTTCTTGTCCTTTGTAGCTTTCAAAAATATGTATGTTTTTGCTGTTAATCCCTGTTCTGTCAACAACTAAGACAGCTCGTTAAGAAAGTTGTTTTGTTTTTCGTCTGTCCCACTTGCCTTCAATATGTACTCGACGAAATATTCTAATCCCTCTTTCAATATTATTAAATCATATATCATAATTTTCATCTCTCTCTTACTGATGATAAGTATAAGTGTCTTTTTGTTTCCATTTTCCTCTAAATCTTCGTCGTTGCTCACATGTTCAGTCCATGGTATTCTCATCTTCCTCTGCAGAACCACATTTATGTTGACCCACGTTTATTCTCCATTTCTCATGAGATATTCCAGCATTCATAACCATTTTCGCGTACCGATATTATATCACAGTTCAATACTCTTTTCTAATAAAATTGTTCACTTCTTTAATATTCTGTTTTTGAAAATAAATCTCTTGCTATCCAAATACACCTTTGTATTTTGCTGTTGAAATTTTCATCGTCTGTTTAAACACTTCCGAGATATTTAGACTTCAATACTTGCTTGATTTTGATATCTGCAATTGTACTTTGAAGTCGACACCCAAAGACAGCAGTCTGTTTAATGCTAAACGCATTCGTCATATTCACATTTGTCGGGCTGGGGAGTCTATTATAGCTATTCTCTCCTCTAGGAAGATTTTTCAATTTTTTCTAATTATTCGTCCATTGTTCTGCAGTTATGCAGGTCTTTAATTAAACCCACGTATAACTGCAGCAAAAAACAACGAATGTCCCGTTAATGTCAAGTGCTTGCAGAAAAATGTAATATACCAAGCCATCGTAAAATCAGAAGATAACTTAGAAAAAATATACATAGAAATAACTGAAGGTCCATGGAAACAAAGAAACTATGCACAGAAAACATCCTTTACAAATATTACATACGCGAACAGCGCAATGCTTTCTAAAAATACCTGGTAGATTAAAACAAACTCCAAATCACACTATCATGGAAAGTAAGGAAAACAATATCAGCGTACAACAATCAATTCTAATACTGTAAAATATGCATGGAAGAAAAATAGTTATAATTACCTTGCCAGACCAAAACAAACTACTAAATAAACGATTTGAATTCATCTTAAGACGGACACGAAAACAAATTTTTATTATATTACTTAAAAATCAAAAACTGAGAACGAACACGAATAAACAAAATAAATAAATAAAAACAAATAAATAAGTAAATTAACGGAAACAAATAAATAAGTAAATAAACCAAGTAAATAATAAACAAATTAACAAACCAGAAACGCCCAAGAAGAACCAGCAATGCAATAATTTTTTTTTAAGTTAACAAACAACATATAGATAGCCAAAAACCTACATTCGGATTCAGAATTATTCCCAGACAATAGCCCTTAGAATATTTCATAACACGACCATTACCTCACAGCAAAATAACTGTTAGAATAATACAACAGACTACATTTAATGAATCACTGACAAATATATATAAACAGTCGAGCAAAGACACAACTCACATGGCCTGACGATTGCATTTATCATTAAACAGATTGTGGCCTCTGGATGTTGACATCAGTGTTCAGTTTGATATTCACATTAGTTCTATCCCTGATTTTAAGCTCTTTAAACTGTAAATATACCATATATACATATATATATACATATATATATATATATATATATATATATATATATATATATATATATATATATATATATATATAGTAGGTAGTACTGTTTCATATTATATATAGTAGATAATACTATTTAATATAATATTATATTATAATATATATATATATATATATATATATATATATATATATATATACGAACACATCGATATCGGTTACATCTATATCTGGTTCAAAGTTTATGCAAAATAGTCTCTTAAACTCTATTATTAACGATAATTTATAGCCTCTTTACAGAGCTAGAGTACCTGAGCGGAGCAGAAGTCCGAAGTGATTGACATAATTGGCAGATGAATATGTTATGTCAGTCCCCTTCCGAAGTAAGAACCTATCTTGGAAATTCAGTTTTAATCTTCCCCTTAATGTGACGCGAATGTCGGCCACAAGATCTAGTGGAATCTCTACACCGATTTCTTTCAAGAAACATATCAATTCCTCTGTTCTTAGGACTACATATTTAAGTTTAAACGACTCTAAGTATAAGCCAGTTAATTTGATCTTTCTTCGGAGGCACCATTGTATTCCTGACAGAAACATTGTTATTATTCTATTTTGTTCGAGAATATATACATCCGATCTGAAATAAACGAGAAACATATCGTTCATCATATACTGCTCTTACATGAACTTTTACTGATAAAAATAAAAAAAGCACTTTTTTTCTACTGATATTTTAAAAAGTCGAACAGAAGAAAACACTTAAACAATTGATTAGGCCGCCGGCTCTTCAATGACGTCTTTTTTTTTTTAAGTAGAACACATTATGTCCTATTTCACTGGGAAACATTTAGTTACTAGACAAAGTGGAAACCAAATTGATACTCAGTATATTTTGATTAATCTATTCCTTTTTTTTCTTGTACGAATAACAGACTTCAACTCTATAGTCAAGTGTTATCACGTCGTATAATTTAACATTCCTTAGTCCCTTTAATATATAAAAATATATTTCAATTGTATTTATCTTATTCGTGGCATTTCTTTGAGACAAAGGATATATTTTTGGCACTATAAAATAACTCTAGTAAGACAATTATTCTTATATTATATGATGCTCTTGGAGAAAAAACATTGTTTTATATTTCTTTATTCTTGTTTCTTCCTTGTTTCTCTCATGGTTTTTCTATATTTCTGCGACCAGATCGTCTTTCATATTGGTTTTTGGAATTCTTTCATCAATAAAGAAAAGTTTTTCAGGAATACTAAAATGACTTCTGATAATTCTGTTATTTTTTACAGTATTTAAATAATTATTTGGCTAATTTAAACTTTTCTTTGTCTTGGTGATGTTTCACAGTAATATTTCGGTCGATCAATTCTACGATCTTCGCCCAGCAGATAAAGCCTAAGAACTGTGGAAAGTATGTTTTTCAAACTTTGATGGCTATCTCTGGTTTCGTGAACGGCCATCTGTATTGACAACTGCGTTATTTGATGACAATTACCTTATCTTGAACTGTGACTATTTATTTGAATTACTATCAATTTTATCATAGTCAACATAATCATCATCATTTATATAATAGCGCAAAGTTTCAAGCGATTACAGGAAGTTAAAGAGAATGAGAAAACTTTAGTAATGAGAAGTGAGGAAAGGACATTAAAGAAACGTTTATCAGAAAGACACAGTATAGTGATTGATGTTGGATTTGAATTTTGGAAAATTGTTTGTAGTAGGAAAGCAAGAAAACTGAGGGAGTTCCACTGGTGAGAAGTGCATTTTATCTAGCTAGTTCAATATTAAAACGGTGAAGCCTATTTAATAATCCCGTGTCTTAATTTCATCTGAGTCATCAAGGAAAGTATCACATCAGAATAGTGGCCATGACAGTTTGTAGAAAAGTCGAAGTGAAGCCACGTCACCTCGAAGTCCGATCAAAATCGATTACAATGCAAACTCTTTGTCAAGACTCTCGAGATATACAGCAGAAGCACCAGACCAGATTCAATGCACGGATGAATGGTGCATTTATAAATGTGCAAGGTGTATTGTGATGAGAATAATTTTCTGGCAGCATACGGTGAGACAGCTTTTCTAGTAGTAGACCAAGAAATTGATTCACTATATCGCCCCACGTCAGTGTAGAACGTGTTGCCAAAGCCTAGAGTCTTACTCTTCTGGATATTAGCACCAGCTGTGCTGATGGCAGGCAAAAATGGTTCTCTGCGATGATTAATTGAAAGCAGATTTTAGGCGTTAAAATTTACAAGCCATTTCTTGCCCCAGTTAACCACTGATTTAGAGTCCATTTCGAGAGCAGTTACCAGGTTTATTCTGAAGGTTCTGTCTGACTTGCTACATAAAATCCCCTTTATTTATATTATTTCATATTATTATTGTTGTTGTTGATGTTGTTGTTGTTGTTGTTATACCCTCCGCCTCCGGCTTCTTCTTCTTCTTCTTCTTCTTCTTCTTCTTCTTCTTCTTCTTAATACAACCCCTAAAGTGACCTAGTGTAACTCAGTGTAGTAAATACATGCATTTTGTTTGAACAATGTCTCATATTAATTGATATTTAACATGTGGAATGTTTATATTTTCTTCACATTGATAATTCTCTCCCGAGTAGATGATTTTAAGCACTGTAGAGAATTGCCTTTAATTCCTTCGTATTTCATTAATACGACGTAGATTCCACTGAAAAGAGCACACCCCACCAACCGTTATTTTGTGGAATCAACTCCAAAGTGCACAATTCCCCGGCTGAAACTGTCACTAATCTATTAAGTCTAGGGTTAACGGTTTTCTTTCCAACATATCCACATGAAGTGCGCCTCTTACTCTTTCCCCTCACAAAACAAGTTCCTTCAGTGACTTTCTCTCTCTCTCTCTCTCTCTCTCTCTCTCTCTCTCTCTCTCTCTCATTGTATAGGGTGAACATTGCTAAAAGAAACGCACTGATCTGAATCTCTTTTAAACTGGAACTACCAGGGATCTTATTATTCCTCTCTATGATTTTCATTACACACACTTCTTTAATTATACAAGCAATTTTCAATTTTAATTTCAAGATATTATATTTACTTATGATGTAATACGTGTTAACCTATATATTTTCGCTGATGCCACGGCCATATCTATGAGAAGACATTTTTTTGTTGGTAAACTTTTTTGTCGTTATGAGTTTGTATATATCTGTCAAAATGAATGGTAAAGACCCAGAAAATAGGGACGGCATGAATTTCTATGCTTGTTTCAGAATGGGGTACATATCATTTCTCAGTATGTAGTGCACTCTGATACTGATATAACTTTCAGTAAACATATTATCATGACGATCTTTGTATTCTTTCATTTTCAAGATTGTACAAGCATTAAATGGTCTAGAGTCTCAAATATTTTCTTCATCTACATATTATTTCTGCAACTTTTTTTATTATGTTTGCTTGATAATTCATGGTAACAAAAACACATTAGTTCTGAACAACCGTTATAAATTCCTCTGTTTCTATATTTAACCCAGCACGCGGTTTTATGTTTATCAACAACCACATATTTTACTTTTTAGTACATTTTGTCTATAGAAGTTTTTTTTTTCTTTGCGTATGCTTAAATTGTTTAACTCTTCTGTCTAAGCAGCATTTTAATAATTCTAAGATTATTTCTTACTAGAGTAATTTAATTTTATGTTCTTTAGTTCTTTGAGCAATGTTGTTCCCTTTAAAAATATGGTATTTATTATTATTAACTTTATTTTAATTAGATTGATTTGTACTCCATTCTAAAAGAAGAATATATTACATTTTTCATTACCTTATTCATAGAGGCTATGCTGTAAATTGATACTCTGCGCTGGTTAATCAAGGGTGGAAAACAAGATGGCTCTTTTCGGGACATTGATCACAAGCTGTCAAAACTGAAGGACGCAACAGTAAGTTAAAAATATAGAATCCATAAAAGGACCTTGAATTACGATATCAGTTACAGATCGTGGACAACGAAAGAGGCTAGTATTGATATACTAAATAGTAAATCTTCCAGGTGTAGAGAAATGCATATATCGAGGCCTATGAAGAAACAGGATTGTAAATATACAGATCATCCCCACTGTAATCCGTTATTAATTTGATTAATATACACGTTATGTTCAGACGAAAAATCTATGTAAGAACAGGCGTTTCCTCAATGGCGGTGGTAATGTTTATAACAAGACACGTGTAGTGCAGACGGGGACTGCTTTCCACGTAGAAAATTAATAACATTTCAAAAATGTATAGAAAATTGTAATGGTAATATTAGACGTTTCTTTATAAGGAAATATTTATTGGCCGGACTGCCAGTGCTACTGCCGGCTGAAATTTATTTAAACGTTCTCTTAAAAATATGTTTTAGTAAATACATTTCCCAAGTTCATTAAAGGTTATTTTTCCTGTATTGTTCGACATAGAGGAGGACGTCAAATTTATTATTATATCATTTTTTTTTCCCAAAGAATTACATGTGATATCCATTTTAACTGTTCCTGCTCTCGAAAGCCTCATTCTGTAGCGCCAATCCTCGATGCTGGAAAAAGGATATCTTTCGCAAAGTACTACAGGAATCATTCGTTGGAAGCCATTTAATCATTGATATGAGGAAAAGGTTGTCTACCGATAGCAGATTAGATATTTCTGAACGAGTTTTCTCGTATGTAGGGCATCCGTAAGAAAATCTCGTTTCCATTGGTTTGGTTTGGTTTGGTTTGGTTTTACGGCATATCAACCTCAACAGATTATTTAATGCCGACAACATTTTTATTGCTGGTAATACGTTTTTCCTCAAAAATCTATTTCTGGGAATATTTTTTCTTGAAGAAATCTAGAGCCGATCATATTTTTTTCAAAGAATGTATAGCTGTTTGTATTGCTGGTATTTTTTTTTAAGTATTGCTGATAATAAATTTTCCTTAAAAAATTACTGCTGTTAATATTTTTTTATTACAATGTATTTCTGGTATTAAAACTATTTTTACACAAGTTTGGGTGCCAACTATTTGCCCATAGCTGGGACCCTAACAGGTGCTACCACGCAGGGTCAGGGTGGACCTGGGAACGCCAGCAATTAAGAGATGGTTCCACGTCCCTGAAAACCTCCTGATCAGAGTCCTTGCTGTTGGACGTAGTTTATCGTCTTACACAGGATGCGGATGTAGTTTATCGTCTTACCCAGGACGCAAATCTCAGTTTGACGGTTTTTATGTAAATAGATGACTAGAAATTTTAGGTTAGAGTTGTTGCTTTCTAGTAACTTTCGGCGTTTGATAAAACTACGCAAATTGCAGCTCATTCTATGTCAAAGTTCTTATCTCTTATCATAAATTTGTCACAATTGATCTATACGCAGGTATATTTTAAGTGCGTATTACTTACTAATTTCACATACAGAAATTTACAGATTCCAATTCCAGATTATAGTTTCTGTTTCGGATAGATATATACCAAGTTCTTCTTCTTGGAAGAGGACGCTGCTATTCTGAGCCGATTCTTACCGCAACTAGGAGTCTATATGCTATCAGCATTATCCCCTCATTAGCAGTACGCTCACCTGAAGAGGCAAAGCAGGACCTCCGTTTCCTATCCATTTCGGATAAGGTATGGCATGTTTAAATGATCAATGCCTATCTCTTCACATCTGCGCTTGTATATGCATATATCATTACCTAGGAAGGGATTAATGAGATTTCGGCTAACATTTCCTGCTTGTCGTATGCCTGATGTAATATTTCGGTATTAGGGTTTTTCACCAGATATTTACGATTTTATTAATGTCGAGACAGTCTGCGGAGTCATGTCTATGAGGCAGTTTGAAAGACAATTTCGAATGTATGAGAATAAGAAGTCTCTATTGATCTAGCTGTATTCTTCTCTGAGATTAACATAGCATGTATATAATATCTATCTATCTATCTATCTATCTATCTATCTATCTATCTATCTATCAATTTCATTCTGTTCAGATCTATCTACCTATCCATATATCTATCTCATTATGTTTATATCTATCTATCTCAGTTTGTTCATATGTATCTATTTATCTATCTCAGTTTCTTCAAATCTATCTATCTATCTATCTATCTATCTATCTATCTATCTATATATCTATCTATATATATATATATATATATATCTCATTCTCTTCATATCTATCTATATATCTCATTCTCTTCATATCTATCTATCTCATTCTCTTCTATCTCAGTGTGTTCATATCTATCTTTTTATCTGAGTTTCTTCATATCTATCTATCTAGCTAGCTATCTATCTATCTCAGTTTCTTCATATCTCTCATTCTGTTCATATCTATCTCAGTTTTTTTCATATCTATCTATCTATCTATCTATCTATCTATCTATCTATCTATCTATCTATCTATCTATCTATCTCATTCTGTTTATATCTATCTATCCAACTATCTCATTTTGTTCATATCTATCTATTTCAGTTTGTTCATAACTATCTATTTATCTATCTAGCTCAGTTTGTTCATATCTATCTATCTATCTATCTATCTATCTATCTATCTATCTATCTATCTATCTATCTATCCCGTGACGCATTTATTATCCTAACCCATATATGTAGCAGTTACTTTATCTGCGTAAACATCTAATTTTTATATCTATTTAAGTAAAAAGCCATTACCTAATAAAGCTGAGTGCATTGCCCGTGAGGATACTTTATTGGAAGTAACCATTCCAGAATCGTGGGGAGGAATGGGGCATTACTTTACCGCGAAGACTCAATTAGTGTTGGTAGGGGCACTTGTTACACGCTGGGACAACCATGTCTCTTTTCGATTCATGATCACCCAAGGATATTTGCGCTTACGTGAATATAACGAAGTCGATATGAATTTGAACCCGGCTCTCCTATTCTTCATTCAGATCCGTCACTCATAACACCACCTGCACATCGCACATCCACGCTTAGAGCGCCTGGTATTCCCAAGCAGTGACCTATCTAGGTTGCTTAATTTCGGTAATCAGAAAAGAAGCGCTGTTTCAAAGGGATATGGCTGTAAGCTGTGTGAATTTGGCAGACAACAATGTGTTTTAGTATAAAAAGCCACTGAAACTTTCTGATAATTAAATTAAAGCAAATGGATATCATTCTTGGGGGATTATATTATCATAGGTTTAACAAATAATCTCTGTAATGCCCAGTGAAATAAGGAAAATCTATATTAACTTAGGTAGGAATCGATACAAACTGGCTTCTCTTCACAGAGATATGTGTGGTATAAGATATTAGAGTAATCCGTAATATGTATTCTAAATAAACAGCCGTTATGCGCATGGACAAAAGATTTCGGTTAATGCACAAAAATATAGCGAGTGCTAAGACAAACGGAAACGGTGGATAACATCACGGTGGATAACTTCACGGTGGATAACAGCACAGTGGATAGCGGCACTGTGGATAACGGCACGGTGGTTAACGGCACGGTGGTTAACAGTCCGGTGGATAATCGCACGGTGGATAACGTCACAGTGGATAGCGTCACCGTGGATAACGGCACGTTGGATAACGGCACGGTGGATAGTGGCACGATGGATAGCAGCACGGTGGATAACGTCACAGTGGATAGCGTCACCGTGGATAACGGCACGTTGGATAGTGGCACGATGGATAGCAGCACGGTGGATAACGTCACGGTGGATAACGGTACGTTGGATAGAGTCACGGTGGATGGCGGCACGGTGGATAACGTCACAGTGGATAGCATCACGGTGGATAACGTCACGGTGGTTAACGATATGGTGGATAACGTCACGGTGGATAACGTCACGGTGGATAACGGCACGGTGGATAACGGCACGGTTATAACGTCACGGTGGTTAACGGCACGGTGGATAGCGTCACGGTGAATAACGTCACGGTGGATAACGGCACGGTGGATAACGGCACGGTGGATAACGGCACGGTGGATAGCGTCACCGTGGATAACGGCACGTTGGATAACGTCACAGTGGATAGCATCACGGTGGATAACGTCACGGTGGTTAACAGCACGGTGGATAATGGAACGGTGGATAACGGCACGGTGGATAGCGTCACGGTGGAATAACGATGGATAGCAGCCCGGTGGCACGTGGATAATAACGTCACGGTGGTTAACGGCACGGTGGATAACGTCACGGTGGATAGCGTCACCGTGGATAACGGCACGTTGGATAACGGCACGGTGGATAATGGCAAGATGGATAGCAGCCCGGTGGATAACGCCACGGTGGATAATGGCACGGTGGATAACGGCACGGTGGATAACGGCACGGTGGATAATGGCACGGTGGATAGCGTCACCGTGGATAACGGCACGGTGGATAACGGCACGGTGGATAATGGCACAATGGATAGCAGCCCGGTGGATAACGTCACGAATTGAGGGATCCGTGGGAATATTTCGAATTCCAGTTAAGCTATTTACATTCATTTACGGGAAAGTTATAAATCCATCTCTTCTCCCCCCTCAGCTATGGGTAAATAGAAGGGCAAACTGGGTTCTATAGCTTTGGTTGGTGACTTGTTGAAGGAAAACTCTGAATTCAAACCAGCCTAGAAAAAGGTTGGGTTCTGTCTAGCTATCTTACCCAAGACACAGCACTGCTATTACGGTTAGAATACATTTTTTTCTCATCGGTTTTATTTAACAAGGAAATGATCCCGAGAGCACTGATCTATTCTCGTTTTTAAATTGCCAGAGAAGCCTTAGAAAATGTAACTCTCACAGGTGCGTATTGAAGGCAAGTGAGACAAAGGAAAACAACAAATTGCTTAGTTAACGAGTTTCTGTGAATAAATGACGAAAGACAAAAAATACTGATGTTAAATTGTCAAATGTTAGAATAACAATAGGAAATTATAAAGTGACATAATCGCACATTACAAAAATGAAGTCGTTTCTTTATGTATAAATTAACATCCCCGTTGTTTTCAATGTTATATTATTATATTTCTTCAAGCTCTTCTGTGAAAATGTAAATCAAGTTCCATATTCTCAAAGATCATATACCATTTATGTTAATGATAATAATTTTACGATAATGTTGAAATTTCTTAAATAATATAAATTATGAAAAAGTTACATGTTAAAGGCTTGGAAATAATATAAGACAGCATATAAAATGATTATGTACAAATCAAAGCAAGCAAAAGTTAAATGACTCAATTAAAAATGTGAAGAGTCATGAATTGGTGCAGCTGCTTATTGCAGGTATGTATAAAACATAAAAGAAATAATTTGTACCATACGGTGAATTCTACTTGTTAGCTTAAATCTCAAATAACAATCATAATGGAGAAATAAAAGATACTTGAGTTAAGAAACAAATACAAAGAGATACCCTTCCAAAACAATAAAGGAAACCTACAACACATAAAATCAAGGGAAAACTGCAATATAAACTTGGAAAAAAATCGGATAAAGAGGAACCAAGTTGACCAGTAAGAAAAGAGCAGAATCTGAATGAAATGCTATTAGAGATCCTGTTAAGTTTAGACTATTTCTGATCGAAATATTAGATGCAATATAGAACAACGGTGAAATACTAGAAGGTCACAGCAGTTCTATCGTCATAAAGCTACTAATGTAAATGAATGAAGGTTAATGAGCTATAAAACAAAACAAATAGAGTTTTAATAAATAGAGCAAAGCATAATTATACTGACAATAGGATGAGACCAGCATATTTTAATTCAACAAACAGGCGAATTGCTTTTACTAAATTAATGATCCCAAACCGAGAAAAACAAATAGAAAGATCTCTATATCTATATTTTATTCAGATAAGAATTTATGAGGACAAGCCATGAAGGGAGATCTACATGAAATTTAAGAAAATTGATTTGAAATAATAAATAAGAGAGCAATTCCTAATAAATACTGTGAATAAACAGTCTGGTCGCAGGTAAAAACAGAGTCCAAATGAGGGTTAAATAATTAGTGCGTTTTCTCACCTGATGTATCTAAGCAGTGCAGTGAAATGATATTAACACAACTAAAAGACTTACAAGGATTTATTATTGGCGAACGTTTGCTTCACAAAATGAGATATGCACATTGACATGGTGATGGCAGAATGAGAGAAAAAAAAACGAAAGAAATACGAGACAAAGTAGTAAATGAAAATCAAGAAGGAAATTAAGTGAATGACGCCAAAATTCATACTTGTCAGTAAAATATGACATTGTTTGAACTACGTAATGGAGTAATCAAAAGTGACTAAAAAGGAAAAGTTGCATATTTTATTAACAGTCGACAAAATGTGTACCACAGATGAAACACATAGGATATGAGAAAGACGACTTCCAGAAATTAATATATAGAATGAACATAGAAGACAATTTCGTTATGAACAATGAAAAAAGTCTAACGTGTTAGGTAATATCTAAAGTCTTATATAGCAGGGAATAGTAGATAATCTCTTATAGAAGAGACTTAAGTCGAAAGCGGTGTTCTACTGAAACAACTATGAAGAGTGTGGGCGAGAATTGAGTTAGTTCTAAGGAAAATAGGAAGTAGAAAGAAATTGCTGCTTAAAGCAAGAAAAAGAAAGGAAAGACGGAATGAAAAGTTTTAGTTCCAAAACATATTATACAGTTTCACTCGAAGCAAAGAAATAAAGCCACAAAGGTTAATGAGTGTGCATAATATAAGTGTTATGGTAATTTACCCACGCACGCATGGATTCTCCCAGCTATAAATAGGAGCAGGTACTGCCTTTTGAAGAGGGAAGTTTCCAGCAGTAATTTCATCCAGTTAACTGATGTTTCTAACACGTTTTAGAGATAGCGGGGGTTTTATTACTAACATTATTTTCTTGTAAATAATTTTGTACATGTCTGTAAATAATCATTTGAAACAATTTTTTTAATTTGTTTTTTTTTATTCCCCTTCCCCCACAGACAAGTATTTGTACAAATGGGAGTCTAGTTATGACTTTCATACAGACAATATGGTATTATGGTGACTTTAGTAAGAAAGGTAAGTATGAATGCGTTGTTTTGGTGTAAGGTATATTGTGTTTGGGCCAGTGTTTGTGGCTCGCTAAGTTTCAAGTTAAGACAGATGAAGACCACCCTGTCCCGTCATCCCCCATTTTTGGCTTTGTGCCAAATTTTGTATTTTTTACAAATAAATATTGGGAAGTTTCCAGCAGTCAGCTCTGACAGTCGGACCGAACATTCTTGCTGTAACACTCTCGTTTGTATATATTTGTATTACTGTTTCTGTCAATATATTTGTTTAACTCCATTCCTCTCTTTGTGGCCTTATTTATGGTCCTAACTAGGCCTAAACAATAAGAAAAATAACAAACATTATTAAGAAGAGAGAATAATAACAGAAAATCAAATAAGAAGCCGGTATATAACGATTGATATTGCAGTTAAATCTATGAAAACCAAAGTTGGCTGGTAAGCAGTAAGCCGAAACAGATTTTTACCGATAGAAAAAATGTTAGCATAGAAGTTGCAGTTACATTTAAATCTATCAAAAGTAAAATGATGAAACGTAGCTATCAGTCTAGTACTATCACCCATCTCCAGAAGTGATACTGAAAAGGAATGAATTAAGTTAATAATATTGGAGAATTCGATTTTGATATTTATTTTTGTACAGAACGTAGCTTCGAATCCGAGTGTTGAGTATGATGGAAAGAACATTCAAATTCTTAAGTACTCTATGAAAAGATACTTACTACCAAAGTGGGGTCAGATGGGGTCAGCTAAACTTTCAGGCCTGAAATATCAATTCTATACATTTATTATGAAAATGTTAAGCTCTAAGTGAGCAGCTTTCCTTGACAGATATAAACAGGCTTTCACTATCACAATACAGCGACGTAGTGAAACGTTCACAGATTTTGAGTGTCTTCAATAACAATGAACTGTGATTAGGGCACAGGATTCACTGTCCAGATTTCTATTCGTTTCCTCTTCTCGGTTTTATTCCTTTATATTTTTGTCTTTAGGCAAGAGAGCACATCTTTAACGGGTTACAACATGAAAGGGTCAAGATATCAAGGAAGCTAAGAAGTTCAGAGAAAGGGTCAAGACAAATGGAGGGGAAAAATCTGCGCTCCAGGTCTCGTAATTTTAATAGCAACAAATCATATGGATGTTCTTCAGTTTTCTTTTTCCTTTTATCTTGCAAAATATTTTAATTCCTTTGCTTTATTTCTTCTTCTTCTTCTTTTTCTTCTTTTTCTTCTTCTTCTTCTTCTTCTTCTTCTTCTTCTTCTTCTTCTTCTTCTATCTCTCAATCTTTCGGTCACTGTGGTTTAATTTTTCTTTCATTCATACTTTTCTTACTTGTACTTTTCATATTTGTTTAACATTTCTATGTCTTGGATTCTGTCAATAATTCATCTTTATATTGACAAACTAAATTTCTTAAAGTGAATTTCACTTTCACAAATACTCCTTATTACTGAAACGGGCTTACGGTCAAATCACTATGAAATACACTGCGATCACCGAAGTTAAGCAACATCAATCCTGGTCAATACCTAGATGGGTGTTCTCTATGTTCTGTAAGTTTGGATACGCCGGTGATATAATGGAATAGTTAATTTCAGAGCCGATTTCCCCTTCCCGTCGAGTTCCTTACGTTCACTTACGCGCAAATACCCTTGAGAAGGGTATGAATCCAGCTATGGGTTAATTAGTAAGACGTATATAACTAAACAATTACTAACCTCCCCACCCTAAAAAGAATTCTTACTGTCTCAAAATATGTTTTTGGTCTTATATTCCATAGAGGAACCAAACCTATTAAAAATAAAAGCAAGCAAGCAATTTCAACTCCCAGAATTGGTACAAGAAAAGATAACTCTGCACAAAAAATTTTGAACTTGTTCTCTGAAAATAAAAATGTTTTATAATTATTATAAACTAGCAGCATGGCCCGGCGTTGCCGGTGCTTGATTCAAAAATCGTACGACTCATACAGCAATCGCTAACACTTGACTTAAAATATTTTTGCCCTTCCTTGCCTTTAAAGGAGTGCCTTTGCCGTGCTGATGTTGCTACATGCCTTACTTTTTGCCTATCTCACACTGCGAATTTTTTCTAAGCTCTATACTAAAAATTAAATCTGTTACGAAAAAAAAATTAACACAAAACGATCAGCTTTAAAAAAAGGACTCTTAACTGGAAAAACCGAATGAAAAAAGAATGTTAACAACAAATACTTTTTCACACCCAACCCAGTTCTTTGGAATCAGAATCAACGTTGAGTTTAAGCAAGCGAATGAGCCAATTGGAGTAAAGTGCCATGCAGATTTAAAATTTTCCCACTTGTGACGAATGCAGCTATCGATTTTTTTTTTGCATGCTAGCATGCTAGTTAACATTTGTGTCAGTCAGCTGTTGGCTCCCAAACTGGCCAATAGAATCTTCCTGCCTATTCGTGGCAGCCAGCTATAGGCTCTC